CAATTCAATTTAAATCGGATCGGTATAGTTTGGTCGGATTGATCGATTTTTAACATTATTAAATATATGAGATAATGTAAATAAATTTAACATTAAGTAGAAAACATAAATATAAAATACGTTAATATCCAAATAAATAGGAACATAATTAAAAAAAGTACAAATTATAAATAAATTCTTATACTCTTTTACAATTGTAAAAATTGAAAAAATTTAAAAATTATAAACAAATTCTTAAATTTTTATCTTGATCTCTAAAAATACCCAAAAAAGAGCTGCCACCAGCCTCCCAAGCTCTTTTAATTATTTAATAATTTTATAAAAATTTATATATTAATATAATTATTAAATTATATAAAATATTAATTAAAATTAATTTAACTATAATAAATTAAAATTTTTATAAAGTACCGTTCGAAAGACGGAAACTCTTAAAACATCTATAGTCCGCATGATGATTTTAAATTCAACAATTTTCGGGCTTTAAGAGAGATGTGCCCACTGACTTTTCCGGCCTCTCATTTCTCAGGACATTCAGATTACCCGCACTCGGGCCACTAGAGGAGTTGGGTTGTGACCCAACTGTTAGACCCGAGTTTAAATTTTTTAGGCCTCCATTTCCCCTCCCCGGGTCCCGGCCGACTCAGGAAGAACCCATTATCATTTTTTTTTTTAAAGGCGCCACTCAAAATCATGGCTGGAATCATTTGGTCCAAGATAGAGGATTGTTCCCAAATCAGAACACTACAAAGGCATGGATGGTAATTTGATTTCCATAAATATATATATATATATATTTGTATATATATTTTTTGAATAGATACAATTTAGGGATAGGAGATAGGGAATTGTAGTATGACAATGCTATAATTCAAATTTTGATTTCAAATTTTGATTATTGTCAAGGTATTGAATGCACTTATCAAGTAACTCATAATATTTAGTTCACAGTAATACGGTCGATTGGGTTGTGTTGAAATCAACTAATATTCAAAGAGGAAGCAGGTTCACAAAGCAAGGTGATTGAATTGGTAAAGTTCTAAGCTTCCAAATGGATCAAGGCAACCTTGTGGCCTGATTTATCTATGGTTGGTATAATTCTCCTCGAGCAATATGTAATCAACTTGGGAAATGAACAGGTATGTGATAAGTCCTGGAATTTTGCTGCAGCGGGATCTGGCAAGTTCACATTGATGTTGAGTGTAGTTAATCTATGAAGTTTGCAGTATAATGCTGAGTTTTATTAAGCTTAGATATATAGATGCCTGATGCTGAGAACACTTAAACAGGAAAACTTTTTGTACCTAACATCCATACTTTTGTAAATGGTATTGGAGTAGCTTTTGTACTCCGTATTAATACATTTGCGTTTGCCGATAAAAAGAAAAAAACTTCCCCATTGGCTGCTTGCCAATTAGGAGTCGATGATACTTCTGCCTATTATCAACTTCACTGCTTGAAGGGATTTGAAGCCTTGAACACTATTACAAAATTTAGGGGCGGGGTGAGTATTGGGTAGAGGTGAGCATTAGACATGAATACATTTGTTACTTGTAAGTATATTATCCGTTTGGATAAATATCATATCTAAATTATAGAAAAATAAGATAAGTAATTGGTAAGAAAATAGTATTTTTGTAAATATCAAATCAAGTAATAAATATAAGGTTTAGAATTGATTATTCAACTTATTTAACCGATTTGTTTAATTGATTTATTACTTATATTCATATAATTGAAATTTTATATGTACTTAATATACTTAATATTTATATAATAATAGTAATTTTAAAAAATAAAAACAATAAAATACTAAAAATAGAAATAAAAAGTAAGACTTATAAACCAAATATATCATACATACAATAATAACATTTATAAATAATACACTTTAAGCTAAACACAGAATACCTGTAATAATAGTATATTATCCTAAACCTTTTTTTTTTCTAAACCAAATATATAAATATATACCTGCAAGTTACCTATTACCTATTAGATTAAAAATCAAGTATAGGTCTTTGAGCATTTATGTAGATACCAAGTTTAAAAAGATATACTCAAAAA